GGGAAAAGGAGCGGCGGCACAGCCATTCCCCCGGGGGAAGGGGGCATGTCTCGCTTTTCTCTGTCTCTTCGGCAGCCTCACACGCCCTATCATAAGAAAACAGCAGTAACATGAAAGGCGAGGGGCCACCGCACTGAGACTGCGGCTGCAGGCCCACTTCCCCGTCACGTGGGAGGGCGTGTGCAGACAGCATGGCGGTGTGCAGCAGAGCCGCCCGGAAGGTTCCGGGCCCACACGGGCTGCCCCGAGCACGCGGGCGCAAACCCTGGGTACCTGCCCGTCCCTCACTCACAGAAACAGAGGAGGCAGTGAGGGTACAGAAATGAAAGTGCAACTCCCGGCAGTGGGGGCAGCAGCTGAGCCCGTCCCCGCCAGCCCCAACGGCCACCTTTGCCCGGCCTTCTTCCCAACGCGGCCGCGAGGGACTTCCTTCGCCCTTCCTCCGTGCCCACTGCCTCCAGGGAGGTCTGGCTCTGACACATACACAGGGGCCTGGGCGGGCAAGGACACCGGTGGGGGTGGGGGCGGCGGTGGTCTGGCAGAGGACGGGGCGGTCTGCCCTCGCAGGTGTGAGTCCTGGTGGCTTGTGGCGATGCCCCGAGTCACGGTGGCCCCTGCCTTGCACTGGCAGCCGGGCGTGGGGCCAAGTGTGGTGGCTTTGCTCCAAGGCAGGGAAATCGGACGAGGGCGGCTGACAGAGCTGCTCCCAGGCCAGCCCCACAGCGGGAGGCAAGGCCTGCACGGAGAAAACCAGGCCGCACACGGCCAGCCAGGGCTCAGCCCCCACCCCAGCAGCTTGGAGACCGTGCCAGGCACATGCGTAACCAGGACCAGATGGGTGTGCGCTGGAGGAGGGAGGATTGCGGCGTGACCAGGCCTCCCTGGGCGGTGCGTTTCCCCTCTCTCACGTCCACTCTCTGGCATTAGAGAAAAGCCTCTCCCTATCCCCGACCGTCTCCACCTGCCAAGGGGCTCTTCTTTGCTATCCGGTGTCAGGCTCCCTCAGATGGAAGACACTTGCTGGGTGGGAGGAACCGACAGTCCTGCCATCCCCCAGGCTCCAGCTGGGGCAACCAGAGCAGAATCAGAGGCACGTGGGGGTGACAGCCACGGCTGCACTTGGCGCCCCCAGCCTTCCTGTCCCCACAGAACGCTGACGCGCTGCCCCTCCACCTCGGAGAGCGAACGCTGCAAGCCCGGCTACCCACGCTCAGCTGGGGCCTCACCCACGAGCCCTGCCAGAAAGCGAGGTCACGGCGGTGAAGGACAGCCGTGGCGGCAGGGTGGCAGCGAGGGCTTTCCCTTGGGCTGAGGGTGTTACAAAGGGTGTCAGCTCACGAGGGCTGCACAGACCCCGCACGCCAGCCCACGAGGGCTGCACAGACCCCGCACGCCAGTTCACGAGGGCTGCACGGACCCTGGGCACGCCAGCCCATAAGGGCTGCACAGACCCCAGACGCCAGCCCACGAGGGCTGCACAGACCCTGCATGCCAGTTCCACGCTCACCCAGCAAGCAGCCTCTGAGCGAGTGTTCGGGGGTTCCTTTACCAGCCAGGGGACGTGTACAAGCCAGAGTGCACACCCCCATTTCCAACGTCCCCACCCCTGGGACCCTGCGTGCACGTCTGTGCCGGGACGCCCCTCATGCTGCTAGGCTAGGACTCATCCACAGTCGGCCCCTGGGGTGGGTTCCCTGCACACAGGGCTTACCGGCTGCACTGGGGGGCAGCCTGCTCCGCGTGTGCGGCGACAGAGGCCAAGGTGGGAGGATGCCTGGGGCCTGCAGTCCAAGCCAGTTGGCTCTGCCCGGCTGGCACACGCCCTGCTGGGCCAGGGCGAGGCTCAGGGCTAACGGCCCCTTGCCCTGGAAGGCACCTCCACGCCCACAGGCAAACCCAGCGAGGGCCGCGTGGCCGCCCAGCAAGCCCTCGGGGAGGTGCACCTGTTCCCTTTCTCAGCACTTCCGGACGCTTCAACGCGCCCTCTGCCCGGGCGCCCTCTGCCCCTCTGCCGGTCCCTGGAGGCGACTCTGCCCAGCACGCCGCTGTGCGGGGAGGAGCACGGCCTGCATCCAGGTGACCCCACGTGGTGCAGACCACCCAGCCACCCTCCAGCAGCGTGGCCGAACGAACCAGCGAGACTGTCAGGGGTTACAGTGGGTAGCTAAGGTGTGGCTTCCCCTAATCAGTCTGCAGAGAACAAGTGAAGGGTCTGACAGGTGTTACCCCTAATCAGTTGCAGAGAACAAGTGAAGGGTCTGACAGGGTTGCCACTGGGGTCAAGTCACTGACTTTTGTTTTAAAGAACCATTTTCTCTTTGATTTGCTATAGGCATGTGTGCTCAGCAGAGACAGGTACCGAGAGAGTGAGAGACGCAGAGAGAGCAAGAATGAGAAAGCAATCTGTCAGGCCTGGGACTTGAACCGTGGTCACCCATGTGGGAGTCCAGAGCCTCAGAAACCATGCCACCTGCTGGCCCCACATGAGTAACTTTTCAAACAATGCCTGTTTTGCTGTAGTAGCAGCTATGAAAGGAATCCCTTGGTGGAACTCGAAGCCCACTCGATTCTTGCCACTGGCAGCTTTAAAACATGGCGGATAGAGAAAGCAAATGGGAGGTGAGTCACAGCGTCAGTGTCCTGTCACGGAAGGTAGATGTCCACGACCTTCCTCTGGGTCGGCCAGTATAACCTGTCCGGTCATGCCTGCGACGCTGACCCTCGAGAACAGTCCCCCAGCCCTCTGCACACCACCCCACGCGCCTCAGGCCGGCCGCTGCGTCGGACACCCTGGGCCCCGGGTCGCCCTTCACTGCATGCTAAGCTCCAGGTCCTCGGGCTTCCTCCGTACCAGGCCCTCCCAGGGGTCACTCGCTGCCCACACCCTTTCCAGCTGAGAGGCGCGGCCTGTCCGACCACACGGCTGACCCCGCGGAGGCGACGCCCTCTGGATGAACACATCCACACAGAGCCTCCCGAAGCAGGGCCCCGGACTCCTGCCCAGGTGAGGAGAGCGAGTGCCCTGCGAGGCCTGGTCTGGTCTGGCTCAGCCTCCTCCCCCAGACGCTCCTCTGTGACGGACGGAGCCACAACGATGGAGACCCGAGCCCAGACAGCCCGTGCGTGGCTCCGCAGGGATGGGGTCCTGGGCGCTCCGAGGGCTCTGAGCACACCGCTGCCCAGATCCTGCGGCACTGCTGGTCCTGAGACGCTGCCGCTGCCCCTCCCAGAGCTGCTCCGTCCTGCGTGGGCGGCTGCCTCCCTTGTCCCTCCGGAACGTGAACTGCAAGGCCACCAGGTGCGGGACCACCTCCCTGACAACGCTGGGACTCGGGTCAGGATGGACCTCGTCCCTACTGAGATCTGCAGAGGTGGATGACAGCCCGAGACGCCCGGCCATGACCCCCCAGAGGGTCATCCCCTCGGTGGGCCAGGTGTGCCGGCATACTCAGGAAGGGGTGGGGGAGACCTGACTCAGAGAGGGGGCCCCGAACTCTGATCAGAGGCAGCTCTGAAGCTACCCGCACCACGAGTGGGAGCCCAAGCCCATGTTCTCCCAGGGCACCTGCAGAGGGGCCTGCGAACAGGCGGTGGGAGCCTGCTAAGAGTCTGCAGGAGAGCAGGTGTGTGACCGAGGGGCGCTCACTCACTGCAGCATCAAGGGGCGGGGGACAAGCCCCCTGCAGTGCCAGGAGCAGAGCCGGCCTCAGGGATGGACACGGGAACGGCTGCACACGAGCACAGAGGGCCTCGGCTCTGAGCACAGCTCCGTGGGGCCTGCTGGCACCCACCGGGGCTCGGGGCGCCTAGACACAGCAGTCCGGCCCTTCGCTGCCGGTTTGTCTGAGCCTGGGGGTGCACTCCTGGGGGAAGCCTGGCCCAACTCAGGGTGATTTCCTCGGGGTTAGAGTACCATGCCTCGGAGTCGCCCCTCTCGGATCCAGACTCTATAAACCAGGAAACAAACCTTTTTAGTGAACAAAGAAGAGACCCTTCTCTTCACAGCGAGCAACTATTTATTACCTGGAGTAGCGGAACAGGTGGGAATGGAGCTAAATGCAAGACCCGGGACTTTCCTAAGGTGCCAGGCGCATCCCAGCTTTGTCAGTCGGCATTAACAGGAGGCGCTGGGGGGCTGAGGGGGCCTTGCAGCCAGAGGTTCCTAGCTGGTGGCACACGCTGTCAACAACTGCACAGACATGGCCCTGACCACGTAAAGCTCCATTTCCTGAGTAGAAAAGCGGGGTAGGTTAGGGTGTTAACAATATGTTAAACGATTAATTCATTAACATTTTAAGTTATAGATAGCTTACAAAACAGCTGTTATAAAAGAATTATTGCAAGTAAGAAACAAACACCAATTAAACACAGTACAAAAGTCTGTTCATTAGATACATCGGCTGGAGGGAGGGATCATAGTGAAGTCCAAGCGCTTCGGAGCACAACGTGGTCCTAATTGAACTTCACATACATTTTAACACTGACATATTTAAACTGAAATGCTCAGGAATTCCTCACCCTGAGGCCACGGAATAGTTCCACACCGCGAACTCAGCGTGGCATGTTCTGCGGCTGAGGCTCCCGGGCCAGCTCCCCCCTCCCACTGGGCACGGTGCTCTCACCGACCGCTGCCCGGCACCCCCTTCGAGCCCGTCACAGCAGCCGGCACCCGGCGCCAATCAGTGTCCACGGCTCCCTCGGGAAACGGAGGACGTGGATTTCGCTGCAGATATGGTCTGGATCTCCGAGGACAAACGGCTCTTGGGAGACAGTTGCTATGACAACGTTGTTGCTAGGACAATTCCAAGGATCACAAGCAAAACAATTACACAAATAATAACGAACACCATTTTCTGCAAGATAAAGAAAAACATTAATTTGCAAAGTATCAAAGGAAAGAATCTACACCCTTTCCTAAGGAAACCCTCTGGAGCCTGCAGTGGCTCGGTGGGCTCG